AAAAAAAAAAATCAGGGGTTTTCAAAACATTTAGGGAAACTCCAGATGGGAAAACAAGTAAAAGTTGCAAAATTACATTTAGTCTTTCAAATCTTAATTTTAAACTGTAAACAAGGAAAAAAGTACAAGTAGCTTATGACTCTACTTATAATATAGAATGAATATGACTGTTTTAAAAATATAAAGTAAAATTTAGGGGGAAATTATCGCTTTAGGAATGCTTTTATTGTTGAATATGTTTCTGTCCTTGTACAAACATTTAAAATCTCAGCACTCTGAGTCAGACTCTGTCTGACTCAGAGTGCTTTGTCAGGGGTTTTTCTCAAATACAACATTCAGCACAAATATTAACAATTGTAAACATAAAACAACTCCACATTACATTGAACTAATTAGATATTACAAAGCTTTCCACTGCTTTTCTGACTGATGCTGAGCCCAGTTCTGTTCTCTACTTTTGCTTTCAGCATATTCATCAGCGCACACACTAACCAGTAGGATGACTAAACATTTAGGTATGATCATTTTCATGGGACAGAAAGATGTTTGGAATTATTTATTGTGTGCAAAAGTCTGGATAATTGTCATAGTGATGAGAAATGTAATATTGTGTCTACTCTGTAAGTCGCTTTGGATAAAAGCGTCTGCCAAATGCATAAACATAACATAAACATAAACATAATGCAACATCATTTTTGGCTGGTGAAGCAGCTACCTTTGAGAAAAGTACATGATCAAGCCCTTTGTGTTGGATCTTCACTGAGTGCAAATAGGCTGCTAGTTCAGCTGAATAGTGTCCACTTGATTGCTGGTCCTTCTTTCGAGGGTATCATCAATAAGAAGAGTGCATCCCAATCATCATGGTCCTTTCAACCCTCAGTTTGGTGTGCATTTCACAGGCTCTTTCAGTGTCATCATTTCAAACATAAGCTAGAGGTCATCATTACCTCTAGCACAAAAAGGTTACATCTTAAAACAATATTGGTAAACAAATTTTGCCAAAGCTAAACTCAACGCTCTTATTTTGAATGAATAATTATGCAGCATATTTCTTTTACTTTCCTCCCTGCTCATTGGGTTCCAGCTATACTTAACACTGAAGGTGACGTGTGTTCAAATGAGCCTGTAGCTGATTGACCTCAGCCTGGCAAGGGCTGTGACACGCTCAACTTGATGCCCTGTTGCCATAGAAACTCCTGGCTATCTCAGCAGCTTTCTCTGAAAAAGAAATTAAAGAAAGAAAGCAAGTGAACAAGAACTTAAATAGTCCCCAAAAGCACAGGACCACAGGAAGGCTTTAATTTATTTACCCTCTTAATGAATTTTATTAAGAATAGATGCCTTATGACATAAAATACATTTGAACTGAGAAGATTATGTAAGAATGATGGTCTTCATTCCTAAGTGGTTTAATTGCAAAGAACATTCCTGTTGGAGGAAAGCATTAATCAAAAAGGAAATTATCTTTTGTGAATTAAAATGATATTGTCTCCATCTAGCCAGGATCAAAGAACATCCTCATTCAATTTCTAAATTATCACATAGCCCCAATATATTAACTTGTATAATTTGTCGACGTTATTTTGCATTTTGACTGTCTCGTCAAGCTTGTGTAATGTATGTATACTCCTGCCTTCAAAACAGCTGTGAAAAAAGCTGAAGAAGAACCAGAATTAAACTCCATTCTGCCTCAAATGTATCTTTTGGAACCAGCTGCAGTCACAGTAGAATTAACAAACAACAGTTTGACTTTTGCAATAATCCCCTTGATTGAGAATTTGAGGAAATAAAGCAAAAAAAAGTCGAGATGACTCAAATCCATTTTTCATAATGTGAAGTTGTGCTGCATGTTGTATCTTTCCAAACTGATGTCAGTTTTGTACAATGCAAAGTTCGATTGAAGCAAAATAGTGTTGAATCCTTGTGTTTGGATTCGAGTCCAAGAGATAGAAAGGCGGATGAGTTTCTCCCATCTGGTTTCCTGTAATCTGCGCTGACCGTCGCAATCCAAATGACCACTTCCACCCCATCTGCACTTTGCCCCTGTTGGCCTCTCCACCCTCTCGACAGACCTAAACACCATTCCCTCCACACCCACACCAGTTTCCCAGCTCCTAACAGCGAATACTAATAGCTGTCAGTGCTGTGCATTTAAACAAAAACTGCTGTAATAAGCACATTTACTGGTTTAACTTTCCTACATGTGAACACACACACATCAGTCCTTGTGAGTGTGCTTTGCCAGTAGGGGGTGTCATTCATTCTAGAAGAGAGTGGCCAGTCTGTTTTGTTAACAACCAGAGGATCCCACATGTCTTTGCATATCTGAACAAGTCATCCAATCTGGCAAGGCAGCACATGACAATGTGTCTTTACACAACACATGAATATCAGGGGTGTGGGATCAGGTGTTTCTGACCACTATATCTACATTTGGTTTGTTATGAAAAATAGTCGTCACAACCATAATCTATTTGTTCCACCGTCTAAACAGTGTTACTATTGTCTCTTCCCCATCCACTCCCCATTTGTCTTCTGTATTTTTAGCCCTGTCAAGAGATTCTTCCAGATCTTTCAGGACAGAGCTAAATGCCACTAACCTAATTTTGCACTGTTTCCTGGAGTAAACAGGTTTAATATTGTTTATCAAATCTCAATAAGTTTCTTAAATATAGTGGGAAAACAATACATACCACAATTACAAAGGAATAACGATCTCACAAAGAAACATAATCACGTGACATTTATTTTTTCAGTGCATACATAAAGAGTTAAATTTGACATATTAGTAAAAATACAGAGTACAAATAAAAAAAAGTTGTATATACAGCACCAAATATTGGATGGCACATCAACATACATGTTTGCGTCACTGGCTGGAGTGACAAACAGCAAAGGCAGACAGCGTGGCTGTCCTCCGAAAGAGGGACATAAATCCCCGCAGCAGAGAGAGGTAGCTTTTCCCCTTAATAATTCAGAAGGCAGAGGGAAATCACTTTACACCTCTAACAAATAATATCTGGTCACCGTCCATCAATTTTTACTGGCACAATATAGCTCACAAATTTGCAATCATAGCTATACAAATAAAACATTGTCAATGTGCAATACAGTTAAAAAACTGCTTTAATACACAAGCCAAGGCATAAACATATGAGCAGGTACCTCACTTGTCTTCTTGTATTTATTTTCTCTTTTTTGGGGGGGTCTTGAACTTATGAAATGATCTATCTCCACTTTTGCTTTCTTTTTCTTTCTCTGACTGAATAAAGAACACCAACAAAAGGAAAGGGATTATTTTCATTAAAGTCTTTTTTGTTAAACTTTTGAAACACTACACTTGTGGTAAAAACTAAATTTGTGCTGAAGCTGCTGGAAATCTACATCCCCAACTGAATAACTCTGAGGATATCTGACAGAAAAATAGCAATGCCAAACGCTATCATTGAATAGAATTCATTTTTAGGGCCTCCCACTTGAATATGGCCCACTAGCACCGTCCAACGTTTACATAGTAAGGCATTAGCGGGTGATGCAAGTTATAGTAGGCATTTTTGGAACCACTGACTGATCTGTTTTCTCTCGTTTCTGTCAGAGCTTAAAGGCTCTGAGGGGATTTACTCGGCTCCTTTTTCCGCAGACATTTTCTCTGCTGCCTCCAGTAATGTATCACATTCCCCGGTAATTATTACGCTCTGTTCAGGATGGCTGATCATAATCTAACTGTAGGGGCAACTGCACTCACAAAAAAATTCAAAGAGAAGACTACAAACTCATTATTTCCCCTTCAGTTCTCCAGTTGAAACTAACAGAGTCCAGCTGGCAGCCAGTATCTAAATCCCAATCAGGTGCATAACATGAAAAAAACGGAGCCTCTGAATGTCTGTGAAGAGAGACAGGAAAAGGCAGTCTTGTAACCAGTATGCAGGCCCTCCAGATGGTCTTTGGCATCGTGTCTTAACTGCTGCACCAGTGTGTATGAACACATTCTCCTCAGCAAGCATCTTTTAAGTTGAAGGTAATGATTAGTGCTCAGTGCAACAGTGATCAATGATTGCTCTGAAGGATTGCTAACCAAATCATTAATGTGCAGACTTTGTATACTCCTTTTACCTGCCCAACTTTCACTTCATTATACTTCCATCACTGTTACATCCAGTGACAGAAAATGTTTTAGACAAGAATAAAACAACATTGTGTGTCTATCCAGCGAGAGTACACACCGACAGAAAGCCGCTATTCACAGATTTCATCCAGCACATTAATTTGATCTGAGAAAGAAAATGTGTAGAAATGGGGAGCCCCAGCATACAGTCTGAACACGATTCAGTATTCACTAGAATATGACGTTTAACTCTGCTTTCAGACAGGCAAAGGGATTTTCTGCTGCTGACTTTAAGCCAATATATTCTTTTCCCTTTCAGAGAGAAAATGATAAGATTTCTTTGGCTAAGAGGATTCAGAACCATTTAGATGGCTGAAGGCGAGGGAGCTCACAATCAAATTAGTCTCAACTTGAGAATCAGACAGGGCTATAGGCACTCATCCTCCGCAATATCACATCTAAATGAGAGTGATCCAGTTAGATTTTGGGGTATGTAGAATGATATGAACAGGACAGATGTGGAGATCTTTGTTGGGTGAAGAGAGAAGGAGCAGGGGGTAAATTCTCAGAAGTTCAGATGGAAACTGGGGAATGTGACAGAGCTTTTTTCCATGAGCACTTGCTCAAGGCACCGAGCGGGAGGGGCCACAAAGAAGCAGGACCAGTCAAAGTGTCCCTGCGGTGGCATGTCCCCTCAGGCAGTGTCCTTCAATAATTCTGGCCTTCCCTGTGTGGAGTTGAGGCCCCCCACACAGACGGACGGCTGAGTGTAAATGCTCACACATTGACAGGAAGGCAATCAGTCGATCAGAAAGTCAGCGGCCCACACTTTTTGTAACGTGGAGCCAAAGCTACAAAAGACCTTTCAAAGTAGTCAGCATCGCTAAAAGGTTTTTCTTGCTTGTCCGTATGTGCAAAGATTTCGTTCCTCAGCATTTGCGTCCAAGAGAAAAACTCTCCGTTTACTCAAAACTTTGAGCAGAGCACAGAAAAACACCTCGCACGTCCCCAGCAGGTCCTCTGTCCTCCCCAGCTCATCATCCACACAGATGCCAGTAAGATCCTGCTGGATTCAAGTTCCACTCTCCCCGAGCGTAAAAAAAGCCCCCAACACATTGCTGCAGTGTCACAGGACAAGTGAATGACGTTGGGCGCTGACGCGGGCGAGCTGCTCTTTCGGCCGGGTATCGGGTTGCCGTCTTTGGCCCACTTCTGGCCTCTTGGAGAGTCACCTGTCCTGGTGAGAGGAATGCTGTGACTGACGTGTCTAGTGACGCCAGCATTGACTCCAACAGCAGCTCTGCATAGCGTGTTAGGTGTCTGTGCAAGATTCCACTGTCGGACTGCAAGGGCCAATCCATGCATGTAAATATGCAACAAGTGTGCAATGCATATTTCTGTGTGTCTCCTCAGAGATTGTTTTGAAATCAAACACCTGCCGTCTGTCGATAAGCATGTGTGAGACGTCGCCTATTCCCCTTTTCCAATCCAAAAATCTGGTCCAGACATTTCTGTCTTTTTTTTTTTTTTTCAACTTTTTCTGACTTCATGACTTCGTAGAATCTGGCACTGGGTTTAAGTGAAGTGGAGGCATTTTTAACAGGACCTCTGTGGTTGAGTTCACGTCATTTTTTTTTCTACGTTCTTCAAAGGGGACACTGCTCAGAAGTGAACGAGCCCCCCTCGTTCTTTTTCCGTCTTTTCTTCTTGTGGACAGTCCAACAAGCAGTTGCCATCAACAATAGCAACAAGCCCATAACAAGCAGCACCACCGATACCACTTTAGTCTGTGGCAGGTCGTTGTAAGTGTAGGTCACCCCTGTTCCTGCAACCCCAATAACTAAAGAGATTATTCCAAAGGGAAAGATGCAGCGGTACCATGACTTCTCCATGCCTCCTGTAGCTTGGGACAAACGCTCCAAAGAGGAGAGTACTTCAGGTACTTTGGCACCTCCAGCCTCCAAGGACTGACTCTCCTGGCCGGAGTCGGTCTGGGGCTGTGGTTGGCAAGCAAAGTGGCCCGTTGTACAGCCCATCCTAGCTGTGTGGGCTGGCGGATGCCGTCCGGATCACCCTCGGTCAGTGTGATCCTAATTGTAGTCAGCTCTGGCCTGGAGAAAGAGAAGAAAATAAAAAGAGGAAGGAGAGAAAGAGAGAAAGGAGACGAAACAAAGATATTTAGGTCGGTATGTGACAGACTGAACCACGAGAGCTGTTATGGCTGGAACGTGTCCGGTAAAGGATTGTAAGTCAGCGCTAAAATCCACTCACACTTTCTCCCTCTCTCCTTCCGTCTGAGGCTGTTTCTCTACACGCAGCGTGCTGGCTCTTCGACAGCACATTGTACACTCTGCAGATAGTAGTCACGCAGATATATAAAGGAGCAAAGGAATGGGAGGAGCAAGGGATGAAAAACTGGGATGTCCAAGGCTCATGATTGGTTATTTTGGGTGACATCAAGCTCTGAAGAAGGTAGAACAGGGGGTGAGGAGGCATACAAGGGGGGAGGGGATAAGCCTTCACTGCTCACTATATCCCTTGTGTCCCCATCACTGCACCTCAATTGAATCTTGCATTGTTTTCCAAAGGAATAAATTCGCTCATGTGGGAGCAGAAACCCCACAGCTGAGTTCCCTCTGTTTAGATTTTCAACAGGAAAAGTTATCAGTGGCTACAGATGAACACAGAATGGGAATTACAGATAAATCAAACAGTCATATACCCACCCACACACTCCCTCCGTTATGTTTATGTAAAAACCTGGGAAAAAAACATGCATCAAATAAATAGAGCTGCTACGATCAGTGTTAATAGACGGATGTCCATGCCCACTCGTGACAGAAAACACAGACAGCCCCCTCTTATTTCCCACCCACACACTGCGATTGCCAGTTCCTACAGTCAGCTCTTTCTGAATGAAAGCAGACCTGGTAGTAGGTTCCTCTGCAAGTACGCTCAGCTCATTGTTCACTTAAAATAACATCAATCCAGACAGCTCTCTTTTCCTTAGCAATCCCTAATCTATCTACTTAACAAGATTCATTACAGAGCGATCGCTGTGAGTACAAATCTGACTATATGTTTACCTGCAGACTTTAACATGGCAGCATGGTTTCCTTTGTGTGGTTGTCTGCCTAAAGGGGCTTTATGAGAATATATTAAGAATGCACTTTATTATACTTATAACTGGGATAACTAGGATTGTTCAACAAAACACATACTGGTTTCAAGGGAGTTTTACCTGACTGTAGGTCTTAAAAAGTCATTTACTTCACAATTAATTCCATGACATCAGATCAAGATTTACAAAAGACCAGAGAAGTGTGTGGGGAGCATAATCGTTTTTAGGAATCTGTAAGTGCTGGTTTAAAAAAAGCATCTCTTTGTGTCTATAGAACATCAGTATGGACATTTATAGAATCTGACTATTCTTTTTGAAAACTGTTGTGGCATACATAAGCAGCTGACCAGATACCCATTGTTTCCCTGTAAATAATAGAAAAATGCTTCTGTCCACATACGGCAACTGTTGTTAAGACACAGGAGCTTAAAGCTTGATTAGACGGGTGGATTGGTTGAGGCAATCGAGCAACAACACTGACTTAACAAGCAGCTAACCCAGCAAAAGACACTTGCATGAGCCAAAAAGAAATAAAAGGGGGAAAGTGAGGAATGTGTTTGTGAAGGGCGGGGGCTTGGGAGAAAAGAAATGTACGACAGCAACAAGCATTTGAAGCAGAGAAGTGGATTCTTTTGAGCTCTCTTTGGTTTCTGTGGATTCGTACTTGGACTCCCTTGTTGAAGGGGTATTGGACAAAGATAAAATGAGAAGGCTGAAAGAAGCGGAGCATGGGAAAGTGTTCACACGGTAACTCATTTGTGAGAGTGTGCGACATAAAGATATCATTTCCGTGAAGCCTCATCCACGGAAAAAGAAACTGTTTGGATCACCCATTATGTGATAAAAGAGGCGTGAGAAAAAAGCAATAAAGGCGTGAGACACAGGCAACCTGGGCAGGGCCGGGCCACGGTGGTGGGAGCTGTGCTGGTGACAGCCAAAGTCAGGCAGCAGCTGATGTATGCAGGTCACAGGAAGGCTGAGTTGCGTAGGCTCCACTCCCAGCGGGACCCGTGTGTAGTGTTGTTCTCAAAGATGCTTCCCCGGCTCATAGGTTCTCACACACTCATCTAAGACTGTTTGGATAGACTGGAAGCCTGCATCACTCTGCTAATACACCCTTCCCTCCTTTCCACACGGCTGCCTTCACATATAGAGGAACACAGTTGATGCTACAGCTCCACAGGTTTGAGCGGATCTTACTGGAGTATGCTGGGTGCTTGTTGTTTTGGACAAAACATCCTGAGACTGAAATAGTCTTCTCCCTTTTATAATCTTATTTTACCTCTCCTCGGGGAAACATGCCATTTCCAGCTTGCAGCGTGCAGAGCCAGGCCCACGACCACGTCGTCTTTGTGACTCAGTCGATTCTGGGTGTGCGTGTCTCAGTGCTCGTGTGTTTGCGCGAGGGTTGGTGCAGTAGGGCTCAAACACCCACGTCCTGCTGTGTGAACCCAGCGCCACCTGTCTTCCAGTCTGGAACCGTCGCTGCCATCCACACGTCATCTGTGTGCATGAGCCTTTTGGCCCTCCTGCATCTCACACACGCCCTCACATCACATCTGAGGCGGGCAAGACCATGAATCTAAAATCAGAGGCAAAGTATTGGTCCCATATGTTGTCACATGCATTCCATGTCTGTATGCATTGGACAAACTCAGGATGGAAATTAAAAGCATGTGGAAATCGACTGCGTAGGCGTATACGCTGACTACTCTACTTTGCTGCTTTTTTAACACTGAAATAAACAAAAACCACTCTGAACAGGTTGCAGATCCACATGACAAACAGGCTCCTTGGAGATTTTGATTTGGAGGAAACTAGAAAAAAAAGAGGGCATCTCAGAAGTCCTCCTGTTCTTTCTCTTTCCAGCGAAAAGCAGGATTTAAACAGGATATCCTTTTTTCAATTAAATCCAGAAATAGAGATGAACACAGATGGCAAACTGACAAATATCCAGTATTTGCTGGTATTAGCAAGGTGTAGTGTCTTATGTTCAGGTCAGGGTTTGAATCCAACTCAAGACTTTGATTGCGGCACTGAATAATTTAAAGAAAAGTAACACAAATGTGCCCCGAGGTCACATTTTCTATTTGTGGAGTGACACCTGTTGGCACAGCGTGTAACTACAGATTTGTTTTCTTTCTAACTGTTTGGGATTAACTTCAATGTAGAAGGTTAGAAAATGTAATAAAACACAGGCATTAAAGTATTATATTAAATATATTTTTTATTCCAGCAGGACTTGCTGTTAGTATTTTTTTCTCTTACGTTATCTAGAATACTCTGCCAATGAATGTTAAAAAATCATAAGTAATAACCAAAAGTCTCAAACAAAGACCGAAGTAAAAGACAAACATTGATGATAGCCAAAAAACAGTAATTTCCTGGTGCAATTGGGTTTATACTTTATTAGATTCGCATTCATCCAAAAAACATTTCACATTTTCAACATTTCTGAGAAAAGACATGATGCTTCATATTAAAGTCACTGATCAAGGAAGACTAGAAAAAGAAGCCAGTTGCTCTTCCAGACTTTTTTTCCAGGGACACATTAAGATGAAGGAATGTTTTTGTTCCTAATGGTGTTCTTGTTTAATTGGCCATGTCAAAGGGGTTTGGATCTCTCGTTGTATCACAGGATGTCTGAATACCTGCTGCTAAGCTGATAAATGTGTATCTCTCTTTCTAAGATGCTCAGTAGTCACTCAGGCTCAGAGTCAAGAACTATTGCGGGAAAATGTTGCCCCCCCTCGCCCAGCAGGGAGTACATGTCTCTCAGCATGGTGGGATTGGGACATGCAGGTCCGGGTTCTAAGGATGAAATGTGTGGGGACAGGGCGTCCCACAGAACCTGAGACACAGCACAGGAGAATGTTAGCACTTTAACGTAAGTGTCAAGAGACACAGTAACTAAAAAGAACCATTAGGAATGAGTCAAGCTTATTTTGCTTTGTGAACACAGCCATTACCTGTTCCAGGTAAATCTCTTGTTGCAGCAGCTGCACGCTCATTCGCAGCCTCTCCAGCTCCTGGAGTTCAGCCTCTTCTCTATAGGTTACTATCAGGGGCAGGGGTGAAGTTTTCCCGTCTCCCCACGCACCGCTTGCCCTGGAGGGGCAAAGACAACCTCCCTCGGGGCTCCATCGATCCCATGCTTTCCACTCTGACAGAAACGGAGTTATATTTAGAGCGTGAGCAACCGTACCCCAAAATGTTTTTCTGCTCTGTTGCCTCAGCTTTAAATAGCAGGATCTGCGCCTGGCCACGTCAGGACAGACAGCTTTAAAAGCCCTCCATCACTGGGAGGGGATCCGATGAGGCCAAGGAAAGTACTGATCTGGCACCAAGGTTTCACGGCAGCTCTGTTTTCATTTTCCACATGCCAAGATGGAGAGCCCGCATTAGCTCGTTAGCACACTGCTCTCATCACAGCCATTTCCCAGAGGCTGTTTAAACGCAGTATACAATAAACTCTTTGCGATTATAAAATCTGTGAAATAGAATTCTCCATGAGCTTTGGTTGTGAGACGATAAGACTCGGTGCATGCGCTCACAAAACCAGACAGAGGTTTGCGGGCTCAGACATAACTGGAACTTCTCTCTGACAGTCTTTGGCAGACATACTAGAGTCGGATTCAAACTTCAGCTCGTAGACATAAACAAATCCCCTCAGTGAAGGTAATCACATCATCTCAGAGGTGTCAATGGAAAATTTGTGGTCAATCTCAATAACTGTATCACTGAACGTAATTGAATTTGCACCATGTGGCATATTCAGTCTACAGACCTGGTGATATCCATACTTATGATCATGTCTGGGTCAAAAGCAGACTTATAATATATCTATCATGGAGGTCTATATATATTGTATATTGTTAAGGTGGGAAAAAAAATAAATGTACCTTGTTTCACCTGATCTGCAAGGATATGGAACTCCACTGGAGTCAGCTCCGACCGTTCAAGGGTCACACAGGAATCCCTGGAATTGTTCTGCTTGCTACCTGAAAAAGCCACATAAAAAAAGATTTAACATGATGAAATTATTGGATTGATACATTGTAACTACACTATGTTACCCCAGCAAAAGGAAATTGTTTTGTATTTGTTCTAAGACTTCAGAAGTTACAGAAAAATCTCAGCTGCCCAGAATCCTGAATTTCTCCAGCAAAAACAGAAAAAAAAGGCGAAACACTGATAAATGTATCCATCGAAATAACTCTCACTAAGTCCCTTCCTGCCAACTCTTGGGCAGTTTCCTGTGAATACCACATTTCTCACCCACATATGTGTGTCATCATTGAACATAACTTGCACTCGTTACCCCACTCCTCATTTTGATGCTTGGAAGTTCAGGCGTATTTTTGTCTTTTTCTTTACCTAACTTTGTAGCCATTTCCAGAATCTCTTCTTCCTGGCAGCGCCACACGAGGTCAAGCCCTTTTTCAATCAGACTGCCAAGCTGAACCCGGGTCTGATCAGGACTGCCACATGGCCAATCCTCAGGAAACTAGTAGGGTCAGAGAAAAGGGTCAAGACTACTTAAAGCTCATTAATAAACCAGAGTAAAATGGAAAGACTCCATTATTTTCCCATAGTATAAAATCATGTCTTGCTCAAGATTACACAACATGGAAAACATGTCCAATGTCAGATGGCCCACTTTGACTAGCTTCAAGAGAAAAGGAAGGATACCGTAGCTCTCATTCTCTCCATGAAGTGACTCCTCCCAGGAATAGGTTTCCTTTGCAGGGCAATAATTTTTTCCAGCAACCTACCGATGCAGAGACAGTAAATCAGTCTGCAAAATTGTGCAAGTAAGATTAGTTTTCATACAACCAAAAGATCCATTTTAAGCAACCTGTTTTTCTTGTGCCTTAAAGATTTCCATTTTGATGTTTGTTCAGACAGTAACCTAGAAAGAAGCAAAAAAATTAAAAATAAATGTTTTACTCCCTTCAGCACCAAATGACAAAGCATGGTCGTTTCATTTGGGCAAACATACTCATTCTGCTGCAGCCAATTGCTCGCCCCAGACCCATCTGTGTCTGAAGAAGGCACTACGTTATTTGAAGACGGCATGGAGACAGATGCAGCTCTGCTTGGGTCATCGTCACTCAGCATGTTGCTTCTGACTGTTGTGTTTTTAGGGAGTGAGGTTGTGATCTGATCAAGAGAGGCAGATGCCGAGACAGCCTGCTGCAATTTCCTAGATGGTTGGTGATGAACAGCCTGAGCTGATATAGAAGAATGGTTTTGAATTGTGTTTCTATTATGGTTTTTCGATTTTACAGGTTTGCCTGCTGTAGTTCTTGAGCTCAATGTGGTGCAAACTGATAAACCAGACTTTTTGCGTATATTTCTGTCAATGCTGACACATTTAGAGGTTGATTTGATGGCTGTTTGACTTCCTTTGGGTCGTTTAGATGAGTGCAATACATTCATGGATGAGTCTGCTTTCTTTTGAGTTGCACATAGTTTTAAGTCCTTTTTAGCAGGCTCGGAACCTTGGCGAACCTGAAGGGCTTTTTCCAGGGCTCGCTCAAGCAGTTCTATATCGTTCTTTTCTTCAGTTGAGGTATCTGCATAAGCAACAAGCAAACATGGGGTTACATTTAAGCTTATCTTCACAGATAAGTTAAGTGATGCATACATACGCATTCAAACTCGAAAAACCCCAATCCAAAGATTATCTTGTTGTAATAACTATGATGACAAATTATTCACATTTTCTTTAACAATAACAAATAAATATATCACAAGTATAGTAATTTTTTAGTATATGGTCAGAAAAATTACCTGCAACTGTATGATCTGTTAACTCTGGCTCTTCAAGGACCACTTTTGGATGCAAAGTCCTGTAGGGATAAACAATTCATGTGATCACTCTAAAATTTAACAAATGAAGCAAATTACAGAAACAATATGCAATACCAGTGCAGCAGATTTACTTCAAAATCTAATAACCTCATGGCCACACTGACATAATCAAAAGTGTACCTGATTTCAAACAGTTGAAAAAAAGTTGCATAACCATAAATGCTGACAAATGTATAAAAAGTAAAAAACGGACAAATGAAAAAGAAAGCAAAAGGCACTGCTGGGATTCGAACCCAGGATCTCCTGTTTACTAGACAGGCGCTTTAACCAACTAAGCCACAGCGCCAGACGCTCTCTCTGGCCATCAGAAGCGTTTTTATACATACATTAAGACATTTGAGTATGTATATCTCATGTATGATTGGCATATTAAACTTGAAAAAAAACACATTTAATTATACATAGACGACAAATTCCGGTTAAATCGTTATAATATAATAAACATGCATACTTACAAAGACTGTGAGATTTCTCTAAGGTACTGAATACTATCATTGAGTCTGGATAGTTCGTCTTTGGACGACTTGATTCGTTGCTGAACCGATGACAGAAGGGACATGGTGGTGTGGACTGCTAGTGTTTTTTCTTTCTGTGAAAACAAGTTTTTTAAAAAGAAACGCAAAGGTATATCTTTTAAATTGAATCCACTACAAGCTAGTTGTGTTTCGCTAAGATTTAAATCAATCAATAATTCCAAACGAATCAGAAAATTAGCAAGAGGTTTCAAGTTAAACTGGTCTTTCGTTACGACCCGCGAACACACACATAACGGATGCGGAAGCCATTGTTTTCCATCCGCTGCTGTAAAGTGTCATAAATAGTTCATATGCATATGTTTGTGATGTTGACCTGGACAGGGGCACCTTGTCGAAATTTATATCAAACTGTACTGTGCACAGAATAATATAATATAGTTTACCATTTAAAAAAATGTAACGCTCCAACGAAGTTTTCAGTTCTCGCGAGAATTGTCTGAGGGACCGGAGGCCATGGGTCGTCACCGTTCTATCCTGTCCTATCTCCTCAGATTTGAAATAAGTGAAAACTAAATACATTTTTGGTTTTTAATTCATTTGTATAAATACTTTCCTCATGTAGGCTAAGCACTCTGTATGGATGGATAAGGGTGACAGAATTAGATAAATAACTATATCATGAGAAGAATTATTGTATCCTCAAATACATACATCTAAGTCTCCCATTAATTCATTACATTTATACCAAATAAATCAGAAAAACATATTTGAATAATTAGATTTACTTCTAAGGAATTAAATACATAATCAAATTATTAAACAGATCCATATATAATTAAATACTTAAATAAATCATTAAATATTCAATTGAAAAATTAGATGACTGATTTAATAATTTAAATAAAGAATAAAGTTGTTACAATATTGTAAACACTCTTAATATTTTTCATACAACTATGGATGTATTAACTGAGTTGTTATATAATTAACTTTACACATGTTGGTTATTAAATATTATACAATCTGAAGACAATGCAAATAACATTCAATTGATAATTGGATTAAATGTAATTTGTAAAATAATTACTTGCAGCACAGCAGTTCAAAGATGTTAATTTCACTTGAATTTGATACCTTTGTACATTTCGTTAACATTTATCAAGACTTGCCATTTATCCACACTCATAAAACTTTCAGCCAGTTTAGATTATTAGGACAATGAAACCTATGCACCACACAAAGATCTTTCCACTAGATCAAAAAATAGCAAATTCCTTATAAATGCCTTTGAGTACATTTGTTTGTTCTCCGAATGTATATATTTCCTAAAACTCTAAGCCTGAGTTGAGAGAGGCATCAATATGCTCAGAGTTTACAAGAAACCTTGTGCATGTTTTTTTCAACATCATCGAGGATGCTGGTATTACACCATTTTACATCCCCACTGATTTGAAGTCCTAATTACATTTGCATCTTTAAATAGTGAAATACTTAGAATCATAGATATGTCCACACAGCTTACTTGTCTATGTTTCAATGGAGCACACCCAAATAGTAATAATGACAACAATAATAATGATTATCATCATTATAACAATCACATTATTTAATGGATGGGTAGCACCTCCCCCCCCCCCCCCCCCCCAGCTGAACAACTTTACTATTTGTAATATATCAGAACAAAAATAATTTTGCTGAGCTTTTATCTGTTACAAATTTGTCCAAAATCTAAAAAGTTTTTATTTTCTCCCTTTCCCTTTTTACAAGTCCCCTTCCACTCTTGATATGCACCAGGGATATAAATGTGCTTCCCAAAGCATTTTAATATAGTGGCAACAGCTTGCTGGCCCCTTTGGTAGGACTTGAATCATCTTATTAGCTTATTTTCCCCAAGCCAGCCTCCTGTGGATAAGTAGCAGAGGGAGGGGGGGAGTCACTCAGCTGCCCCGTTGAACGAGCATCTGACACAACAGCCGGCTGCCAGACTGATATCAGGATCTGACAATCACACAAGCACATATGCACACACACACAACTCACGCACACACTCATCAACATAGAAACTACAAACAGACTTTCAAAGACATTCTGCATAGCCTGATAGACTAATTTGTTCTGAGACAAACAACATTGTTGTAGAAGATTCACGAACAGCCCGTATGAATCATCCATGCGCAAATACAACTAAATATTCATTATCTGACATGGCTTTGTAACTGGCACAGACAATGTGTTTAGGGTGCCAGAGATTGACAGACCATGTTTTAGTACATCTATGGAACATGAGTGATGATCCTGTTGTGGCTGGAGCACACTCTATTAAGATGGAAGTCTGCTGTCCATCATTCCCTGAAATCGAACAGTTTCATTTAATGTATTTCCCAGTTTTGTCTCTCCTATATCTAGATAAAAAACTCTTTCTTTTGATCATTATAGTTGCAGTTGAACTGAATGAACACAACCCATTTATAACTCTATGATTTAGCTAAATTAGTCCAAACTTTAAGAACTGGTTTAATCAAAGTGCATGATAATACAGAGGTGTCAAAAAATAAAGTAAACTCAAATGTAATAATTATAGTTTTTAAGAATACAACAAGATATGCCGTAAAAAGTTAAGTGGTGAAACAAATCCAAGAAAACATCAAAATCTTGAGTGCTTAATTTTACATTTGCATATTTACAACTAAACCAAGAGAATTTCATGAGTTTAAAAAGATTTCCATAATGTAATGTTGTATGAATCGATCTGAGGGTAACAAAAACACAACATTTCTCATGCTTACGAAAAATGGTCAGAAAGCATTGCAGGTCATGTTCTGTATGGACCCTAAACATGGCTTCATATTAGCAAAAGCAAGTAAAAATTAACAATATAGTAATTGTTCAACCTTGCATTCATATAATGTGTATGTTTTATATATGGACCAAATTAACAAGTTAAATATATGACAAACTGTTGTATTCCTTGAGCCGAAATTACATTAACAAAGGTGCAAATGTTACCAATGTAGAAACTCTGTGAAATATGTTTAAAACAAAAAACAGGTCATACCAAATATGTGAATTTAGAAACATTGTTTTTTAAATGGCAAAAATATTCCAAAGACAATATGGCTTTGAACGTCAAGGATGCAGTGATTGTAGTAGCTTAATAGGTCGTGGAGAAAAGCTTATTTGGAGAACTACATAATGCTGTGCTGAGAACTACATACTTGCGAAAAGTGTTTCCGGTATCTGATTACAGAAGCCGAATAGGGACATACAAAAACGCTTAGTGTTGCTTCGGACCCTCGCTTCCTGACTTCTGGTTATAGATCGCCTGTCACTAAGCCACGGTGAAGGTTTGTTTACGAGACCAACATTCTAAATAACAATCCATACAAACCTATTTCACAACTCTATGTTATTATGACACTGGCCTCCAAATCATAAACGAGTGTATTTCTTGTGCTACATTAGCTTGGTTTTAGCTGAGTTAGCTAGTAAAGTAAAGTTAGCTGTAGTTGTCAAATAGCTGTTCCTGCTACTTATGATTACATTAGTGTTACCGATAGCTTTCGTATATCGACAAAAGGGGCAGGGGATTTCAATGATTGAGTAAAATACTGGTGTAAAAAAAAGTGACATCACTTTGTTGTGTGGCTATTTGCAGCACGAGCTCGATGCCTCTAGTTTGTTGTCGGAGACTTAGGGTAAAAGCCAGAAGGCCCGTCCGTGCTTTGTTATACGAGTTGCTTTTTGTTTCACTGTTTCATGCAGTTTGAGTCCAGATGTTGCAGAAGGCTGTCTTTTTAAAGCAACTTTGTTCTACCAGAGCCTGAACTTCATTCAGTATCTCTCTGATTTTTTTTTCTTCCTTATTCCCTTAAGGTGAAATAAGTCCAGGGATTTCTTTAAACGCATTTACGTTGGCCATCAGCTCAGCATCAACTGCCAAGAAGGGAGGGGGGGATTTTACTCCACCTGTTTACCGATCAAGCCTCCACTGTCTTTTTTGGTGAGCACTGCTAGATTCTGAATATGAATATTTACTCTATATCTGTCTTTTAATGTTAACATGACTGTTATGCTGTAGTAACTTTATTGTGACTCAGTCAGGTTAAGATCCCAGCATAAATGTCAGTGGAGAAGATGGAGACAACTAGTATGTCCAACGGAGCAGCGAATGCTTATGAGGAGAAAGAAAACACCCTCAGGTAAATCTCCCAGAATCAGTGTAATTTAAAAAATTTTATGTAATAAAAAAAAAAAATGGTTCTGTCAAATACATAACCTTAAAATTGTGTTGTTTTTTTTGCTCTTCCTTATTTTTTTATGTGTTTTGCTTGCTCAGTCCTGAGGACTTATCTGAGATGCTGGCAGCGGGAACAAAAGAGGTTCACGAAAAGGCTGAAAACACTCAGTTTGTGAAAGATTTTCTCAGAGGACGCATACGCAAAGAACTCTTCAAGGTAATAGAAAAGACAATTTTTCCAGAATGTATAGATTATATTGTGAAAGAGTATTTTAAAAGAAAAAAATAATTGTAATGTGATTAGTTTAGAAATGGAACGAAAAAATGTTGTGTAATTAATTAAATGTAGCCATAGATGGTGCATTTTAAAGATTTCTCTGAAACATTCTGCTTTTGTAGCTGGGTGCTGTGGCTCTTTACCACACATACACTGCCATGGAGGAGGAGATTGAAAGGAACAAGGACCATCCCCAATTTGCTCCGCTATACTTTCCCACCGAACTGAACCGCCATGAATCTCTGGCCCGTGACCTCGAGTACTTTTACGGTCCGGAGTGGAAGAGCCAGGTGAGCTGCTCGGAGGCCACGCAGCGCTACGTGGACCGCATCCACCAGGTGGGCCGGGAGGACCCCGTGCTGCTGGTGGCCCACGCCTACACCCGTTACATGGGGGATCTCTCTGGAGGCCAGGTGCTGAAGAAGGTGGCGCAGAGAGCTCTGAAGCTGCCACCCACTGGAGAGGGACTGGAGTTCTACCAGTTTGATGGCATACATAGTGCAAAAGCCTTTAAGCAGCTGTACCGAAGTCGGATGAACGAGCTGGAGCTGGACGTGGACACAAAGAAGAGACTGGTGGACGAGGCTGTCAAAGCTTTTCATTTCAACATGGAGGTGAGAGGCGGTAGTGCAAGTTTCATATAAATGTTATTGTATATGAAAACGAAGGTATTAAGTGTATTGATAAAGACAGAAGTGTTTGGAAATTTATCAATATGAAATTTTGTTTAACATTTTCTTATTTCAATACTTAAGGTGTTTGACGAGTTGGAAGAGATGGGCAAAACCATCCAGGAGGATGTTTTAGATGCTGGCATGCCTGTTCATGGAGCAACGGGTGGAGATATCAGCAAATGTCCCTACTATGCTGCCCAAATGGGTAAATATTTTGCCGTTCTACGCACCTAAAACCTGACGTTATTCTGGATGTTGGTTTGTTAACAGCTTGTGCCTGTGTCTCCTTTGTGCCTCAGCGGCATCAGGTGGAACAGCGTATGCTTGTCAGCTGGCCATGGCCGTTCTCAGACACCCTACAGGACAGGTCCTGGTGGCCACTTGGTTTGCCGCCTTGGCTGGATTAGTTGCCTGGTATCTGATGTGAAGCAGCTCTCAGTCTGTTACTTGGTTAATGTGAGACCAACAAGTATTAGAGGAAGAACAGTAAGGAGGCCATGACATTTCCACAAACTGGTGAACGTTTTGTGCAAACATTCACATCAGAGCCATGTGTTTTTAGGGTTTTTATTTTCTCTCTAGCTGTGTAAGTCCAATTAAAGGATTTATTGGACCATTACCACCTCATTTCCATCCACAAAGCACAACTTATATTTATCATTTAGACATTATTATCTCTCTACCTCCAGGTGCTATCCTTCCAGTCATCCTTCCAGTGTATTTGGTTGCATCCCAATATCTGCTGTAGCTGCTCTCTAACCAAAGCAGGCATGTCACGGTAGTTAGGATTTCTGGGTCATATGTCGTCCAAGGCTGTGATAGCAATTCTGAATAATTACATCACTGATGTAAAAATGAAAGTGACACTAAAGCAATACAAGTACGGTTAAAACAAAATATAGGAAAAATTTATTTGGGCTCTTTTAGCCATGATTGCACTTAGAAAAACATGAAAAATTTGGCTCAGGGGTTCAATTATATGGTTTCTTAACAGTTAGAACGTGTGTAAGCAGGAATTTGTGTTGTTGTATTGCCATGTTACATTGTCTGTATTTTTCAGCAAAGTCCATATTGTTGTTCGTCCTAATGTGTTCGTCATCGGTACAGCGTAAATTCAAAATTCAGAACATTGAAGCTTGGCAGTAGTGCTTTGAAACAAAAATGGAGCTCTTAATCCAGACCCTTTAATGTATGGTTTATTAGGCTTGGGCATTTGGCGCTGGCAAAGACCCCCGTCAGCCTCAAACAATACGTGCTCGTTGCTGTGTGCGTTTGTGTTGGGGTTAACAGATCATGTGCTTTTATCATAGAATTACTCAATAACATAATTATTGTCGTGGGCATCGATTGAAAGGACATTTTTCCCTCCACAGATGTAATTTCCTATATAATGTGGTACATTAGAGGATGAATTAATTTTGACCCGAGTGGTGGTAAACAAACTGTGGATTTCTGTGAACAGTGTGTTCGTCCATGACAGACTGCTGTGCTGATCTATGAATAATAATAAGAATGAATTATTTTTAAGAATGATGCTGATTATTTTGTTTTTTTGACTGTCACATTTATTATCATCGTTGAACTTCAAATTTAGCAAAGTGTACTGTGGGACCAGTGATGGGAACCAAAAAGCTCTTGATGATAAATTGGAAGTTTTGGACACTGGTGATGATACAGAGTAGTAGTCCATGTTCACTTCTGTTCTCCTCAACTTAAGGAATCTGTGATGATATCTTCAAATTAAACTAAAACTGCCTAATAATTTCACTCACCAAAATGAGCATCTAATTTCTTTAGTTTCATCAACCATAGGAGCCGATATATGAAGGATACAAGTGTTATGATATTTGGTCTACAATAGGAATCTCTTTTTTTAACTGTAAAGCTTTTATCTCTATTCTTGCAATGGGCATGCAGCATAATTGCACGATGGGTGCATTTGTGTGGGTGTATTTGTTTATTATCTGCTTGTCCTTTATGGACTTCTATGCTGCTCAGCTCCTGTTATTGTACCCATTGGTGTGAATGTACCATAATGAATCATCGCTGGTCTAAAATACCCCTTTCCTGGTCTGTGTTGGGAAAGTTTCCTGTTAGTACTCACCTGTCCCCCCCCCCCCCCCCTTCTTGTTTTTTTAACACAGCAAACAAAAAGAGCTCTTGAACCCAATGTACTTTCACTGTTCATTTTTTCAAAAAGTGATCTGGATTGCTTCATTGATAAACAGGGGTGTTTTTTGTCTGAAAGTCCCAGGTTTAAAACACACATGATGGACCTGTACCGGACAAACGTGCACATTTACTGTTTATTCATCTTATGCAAGTATTTGTGGATATTTCGGCAATTCTGGAGTTTATTGAATCTCAGGAGTGCAGTTATCGTAATTTAAGATAGTTGACTAACCTGTGTTGCTTTTCTCTACTCTTAATTCCTTTGGTGTTCCTAACTGAAGCTTTACTAGCAACTGGCTTATTGTGTTGTTAATTGAATATTAAAGTTATGCCTCTTCATATTGAAACAAACCTGCTCTGGCTGGTGTTATTAAAAAAACACATTAAAGTATAAATCAATTATGTAGATGACCATGACCCCTCTTCTTATAAAACCTTAAGATTTGCTAGACATTTCCATCTTATCACGTTGTTCTGATATTCATGATAACCAGCAAATTAATTGTGCTTACGCATGTTTTTCACTCAATAAAACTTAAGATGAGAAAACGTATACAATGTATCCCATATAGGTGGGTGGAGATGTATTCATGTGTAAACAGTGAGGAAATCAGTGTCCCCTATCAAAATGGGCTTTTACCAGAGCAAAGCTTTATTATATAGCTGTACAGTACATTTTCTTTGCATCATACATACATAAATGCATTTTCTACACTTCAGTATGTACAAATATATTTCTTGTTCGGAGCTAAAACTCGTTTCTTTTATTTGCAAGGGGTGAAACACAAACTGCTGTTCACTGATCATAAAAGTTGTACCTTCCCAGAGTTTAACCCTCTGTCAAGAAAAGAATTACTGAACCAAAATGACAGTATATGTAGTAATGAACCTGTTAGGAACGACACTGTTTACGATATAAATCTATACCTGAAAACTGAACCAACAGATATAGAAGGTAATCATAGGATTTTAAATCCTATATCAAATTTGGACGTTTTTGATGTCTTTTTCAGTACGATAATTCATTTCTCTGGACTCCTTCACCTCAGTTCTTTTTAGACAACATGTACTGATTGCTCTGAGAATGTCTCTGTGGCCTCACAGGCCTTCACAGAGATTTGAGAGGGCAGACTGGCACATCCTCTCATCTGAAGAGCCACTTCAAAAGACTACACAATTCTGTGCCAATTTTTCTTATTACTAGAGGATTGGTTTAGTAGTTCTGTAATGATCCATCCCATACTTGAAAACCACAGCCAGCATCCAGCAGTCCAGGCTTTATCACTTTCTTTAAAATAAAGTTCCCTCTTTGCACTGTCCTCTCTGCTTATGAACCTCTGATGAGCTCTCAGTTCCAGGATCTTTTACCTTGAAAAGAAAAGAACTTTGAAGTGCTGAATTCGAAAGGTTAGGAAACAGTAACTACAAAACCCCATATGCTGACTGTCTAACTCTAAAGGCTTTCTTCAGTTTTTAGTTTAGCCACAAACCAGAAAATGTCAAAATAAAGACTAAATGTAGTTTAGAGATCTACAAGCATATAAAAAGTGGAATATCACGTAGTCATTTCTGATGATTCATTAAGTCCTACCTGGTTTGTGGCTGTCAGGAAGAACTAACCAATTTCTTTAATCAGGAGAAGATGCCCCCGCCGTTACAGTTCTGCCTCCCTCTAGTCTGCCTGCTTTTCCCTGCCTGAGCTGCCCCCACCTGGACAGAGTTCAGCACTACATCTAAGCACTTCTGTTTAAACCCCTTTTCAATGGATCAAAAGCGTTTCACATAAAAAGGAAAGGTCTAGCTAAAGAAAAAACAAGCCTGTCCTTTTACCTGTGCTGGTGGTAGTGACACCGTTCACTGAGCCCTCCACATCAGCCTCATCTTCAGCGTAGCTCAGCAGCAGAGACCTCTGTCTGTCAGTCAGAGTCCTTCAAGACACCACATTCCATTTTTGGTTGGTTTTTAGAGAAAATTGTATTTCATAAACACTGTAGTTAGGTTTAAAGCTTTTCTCTCACATAATGTGCTACTGTGGAATAAAACAAACCTACTTGGGTATTTTTACTTTGACATGGACGTAGTGATCTCCAAAGCCGTAGCCACTGACGCGAGCGATTCCTTTCCCTGCCAAGCGGATTCTCTGGTCTGCCTGGACTCCAGCAGGGATCTGAGAAAAGAAAGAATTCCAATAAGTGATTAAGGTGTACGGGATTAAAATGTCCACCCATTACCTGGTCAACTGCAGACTCTGTCCACTTACCGACAAATTTAATGTTTCGTAAAGGCCTTGTGATTTAGCGGTACCACCGAGGATGGCTTGAGCCACAGAGACAAAAACATCTGAATGGATGTCAGCACCATCCCTTCTGAACACAGGGCTTTTTTGGACCTGGACACATCAAATGAACAAACGTCTAATCATTCAAATCTTAAAAAGCAGCACATTACCACACAAGATAATTTATATGTGGTTTAGCTTTGCTGAGTGGTCAGCAGCTAAAAGGCAGGGGGCACGCACTCGAAATGTGATGAAGATCTCTTTCTTTCCAACAGGCATTCTGACTGTCTGTCCATCCTCCACCCCTAAAAACCAAAAACAAGTATAATGGGTCACATTATTATAGCATTTGTCTTACAATACTGTCCTACCTGGGTCACTATCAAAACAGTTCAAACGCAAAGTATATTAAGCATTTAACTAGACTCAAGATAAAACTATTGCTGGGGCGATTGTGGCTTTGTAAATTCGAGTTAAAATCAGCTTCTTGTCAGGGCAATATGGCCCTTGTAATATACACACGCTGTAAAGAATGCTGAGCTAAGCAGATATTGGAGTGTGGCTGACCTGCAGGGACAGGAACCATCACAGTCTTCCTCTGCTTGGTCTGCCCTGTACCCCGGCAGGAGTGGCAGGGGGTGGAAATGACTGTGCCCTTGCCCCCGCACCGACGACATGTAGAGCGCATCACAAACGGGCCGGTATTTATCGTTTCCTGGAGGAAGAAAGCATGCCTTTTAGAAAAACAATACGATCAAAGGTCTCAGACACAAAGAGCACCGTGGCTTCTCACCATGCCGGAGCCGTTGCAGTGGTGGCAGTGCTGGACCTTAGTGCCTGGCTCGTGGCCCTTACCATCACAGCGCTGGCAGGTTGTGTCCGTATTGATAGACAGTTCTTTGTTGACACCCTTTGCAGCTTGAGTAAAAGTCAGCTCCATAATGTACTGCACCAAAAACAGATAAAAACAGTTAATCCATCTGAATATGCACTGCCAACATAATTTTCACTTCTACTTTGTAAGATTGCACTAACCTCTTGTGGCTGGTCATATATGGCATTAAAATCCCCAAAGCCACGGCCTCCTGAAAACTCTCCAAAGATTTTGCGGAAAAGCTCCTCTGGGTCCACATTGGTGGTCTGTCCACTCCAGTACTGCTGCCCTCGATTAGTCTGACCAGCATTAAAGCCTGCTGTGCCATATGCATCATACTGCTTCCTCTTCCCTTCATCACTAAGAACCTATGAAAAAAGAAAGGGTACATCTTATGACCATTGAAATGAAAGAGAAATAAGAACAAGAAAGCATCGTTCATCATAAATCCAAGTCAATACAACCAAATAGGATAATTGAGAAAGAAAAAACTGAACCAAACCTCATAAGCTTCAGCCAGCTGAGCAAATTTTTCCTTAGCCTGTGGGTCGTCTTTGTTGGTATCAGGGTGGTACTTTTTTGCCATCTGAGGTACAGCAAATACAATGTCAGCTACTGTGAACAACTGGGGCAAACTATCTGTGTGTCAGTCAGGAATTGACCTGGTAGTAGGCCTTCTTGATCTCTTTCTGGGTTGCTGAGCGTGGTACCCCTAGAATCTGGTAGAAGTCCTGCTTGTTGCTGGAGGGAGCACTTGTGTGAAAGGACAGGCTGTAGACGGCTTGGGGTGGTTTGAGACCTGAAAGATGTCCAGCAGGATGAGAGGATCATTAAGTGTGACCCGGCAGAGCTGTTGGAATGTTTTGTGACTGCATTGTAACTGTCCACCGTTTACCACTTTGAGAAACGTTTACATGAGCTACAGTCAAATATTGCAGAAATCTCTGCTATATGATCATTACCCAAATGATTGAGCATGTTTTCTATATTTGCTATGATTATGAAAGTAATAATGTCCCTGTACATGGCTTAAACATGACATGAGTTATCGATTACAAGGTGTTCATTTAAAGGACTACATATTTTGAATGTTTTAAATAAAATATGCATTAGTGTACAGATTTTCCATTATTAATTACAAAAACAAAAGCTGATCAAAGATGACTTTGACTGTTCATCTTCTGTCTGCTACAACGGCATTGCCAAATGTTAGCAGAAATGATTACATCACATCTGCTTAGCGGTCTGCGCATGCTTTAAAGTAACTCGTTGTCAATTATAAGCTAAATTAATTGACAGCTCATTTGAGCAGCTGCCTGTTTATTTGTGGGCAGTTATTGAACTGTCATCAAGTAAACGACATTTTAAAGCACATTTAGCTTAGCCTAGCTTAGCTCAGGCTAACATCATATGGCTCACCTGACAGCCCTCTCAATGTCAACGCTTTCCCTGCTCCGCCGCACCCCAGGCTCCCTCCGCACCAGGGTTTTTCCGCTCCGAGAGAAGAAAACCGCCGGGTCCATCCATGGTCAGCCGAGGGAATGGCACCGCCTGTCCTCCGAGAGCCAGAGGACACCACGACTGTAATCCAGCGTGAGGAAGAGCGAGCAACCGTGGACGCCATCATTCCTGAAGCGGCGGCTGTGGTCACACTGCGCATGTGTGGAAAGGAGTAGGCGTCACTGAGGGGGGAGCTAAAATTCTTGCTGTCTGACTAAGAATAATTGTAGAAGTTTTACAAAAAACTTATGTTCATTTTTGTGAATTTTATACAAGCAGTCACATTGGAGATACATTAATTTCCAAAAAAGGTTTTCCAGCTATCACATGAAAACTAAATACATGTGGCAATAGTGGTATTGTGTAACTGTTTTAATGCACCGGATAGCACGAATGAGCGCGTGCAGTTGTTAGCAGAGGAAAAGAAATAAACCCGCCCACACGAACAGCTCAGTAGAGCAAAACGAGTGGACAGCGCGGGGCAAACCTGATCTGTCAGCTGTAGCAGGAGCACTTTACAGTACCAGCCCGACAGAGACACCCGGAAGGCACGAAAGTCAATTTGAGAGAGCAGCATGAATCGTTTCAAGACTTCGAAATTCAAAAACACCACTCCAAAAATTGCCAAGAAAGACGTGAGTAACACTTGAACCTCTGGGTAGAACCATATCTCCTCCTGGCTAACATTAGCACTGGTAATTAGCTGAGCTGCTTTGGGGAACGCCTGCTTGCCTTCAAGGGATGTTGGACTTCCTGCATCTGGAAGCCTCAAAATAAGAGGGGACGAAAATCTTGATTCATATGTTAGATTTGCTCAGACTGTGGCTCACTTGGTAAAGCAACCGGCCACGTGATTGCATGGGGATGCTAACCTCTTTGGGATGCAGTGACGCCCATCATCACGCTTACATTTTTGTTTGTTTGTTTATTTCTTTTCTTATGTGTATGCGTTAGGCTTGCTTAGTGTGTTAGTCTGCTCAGATTTGCTATGCCAGAATAATGGAGAGGTTCAAATCGGAATTGCAAACCCCATCAGTCCCGATGGCTGTTGTGCAGTGATTGCTGTCAGGCTGCAGGAGTCGACATGTCTGCACCGGAATTTATGTATTGCAAATACATCTGCAAATATGCAATTGTTCCTGTTCTCTGAGGCTCAAAGGTTGAGCCAATTAATTCCAGCTTGCAATGCCTGCAACTCTTTCTCTGATGTGTTTTTATGTAATCCACACATGTTTGGAAAAATGCTTGGAATCCACTGAGGCAGTTGATGATCTCCCATTTCTCCAATATCTGCTCAGACAGCAGGTGGTGCCTTGCTTCCGTGAGAGTTCAAATAGCCATTTGTGTGGGCATTAAGCTATGTCACTGTAGACCTGGGCTCAATTGAAAGATTTTGAAGTCCACAAATATTTAATTTGCAAAATATTTGGGAAATTATATAAAACATTGATGAAACTTTGTAAGAATAAATCACCTGCTAATAATTTTGATGATAATCAGTACTGTATGTGATTTAAACAGAATGTATTCAGTAAAGCCTTTATTATTTTTAGCAGGATGTTTTGGGAGTTATCCATTTCTTTGTTTGCAGAAATGCGTGTAGAACGCATCTTTTTTAAAGATATGTGTACAACTGTGAAAGATGCTTTGAAATGCATGGTGCAATAAACAGATCTTGGCCATGTTAAGCATCCCCTAAAAAGTGCAGTGTCAGTCACTGTTCCTTTTAGTTTCCAGTGGAGGAGCTCAGCCTTAGTTTTTAAAGGATGTTGTACAGGCACACTGTCCCCATGTGTGTCTCGGCTTTTTTAAATGTTATGCAAGAGGGTATAGGAGTTCTCTGCTGTGCAATGCAGGGAGCCCTTCCACTTCCTCATCACTTTGCTCAGTCTGAAGTACTTAAGTGTGTGTGCACTCAGCTATATCCTTCCTGTTTATTGCAGGGTTCAACTTCTTTATGGTTTTTACAGCAGCAGACTGGATTCCTATGTGTTAAAAGTAGCCTGGGTTCTTATTTTTTCTCATATATTGTACTCAACTCCACTATAATCTCTTACTCATTCTCTACATGTCTTTAAATCCAGGAATGGATCAACAATGTTCGTGGTGGCTCCTATTCTTGCCAGGGGAACCACATCAAAGCAAGCTCCAAGCTGATAGCTTTCAATACTGAGCAGGCTGGTATGGATATAAAATTATTGAAGAGTAACACATGCTCTAATTTGAGACGTGTGTCCATTGTTATTACAGTGTTCTACTTCTAATCATGTCTGAGTTTGCACTGAATTGTGTAAATGTAATTATTAGAATTTAACTGTATAGTATTATTTCTAGACATCATTCAAGTTTACTCGAGCTGGTTGGAAACTTCCGCTCACCCTGTGGTATTAGATTTAAAGATAAGCCCTTTCAAAAAACTAAAATGCCTTATGTGACAGATAAATAGTGATGGTTAGCAGGTTTTTAATGATACATTTTCTCCTTGATTCAATTTACAGGTGGAGGTATGGTGGGGCTGACCTCAGTCAAACCTGGTTCAAATGGCCAGTGGACAGTCACCCAGATCTCCTGTCATTCTGGTAGTTATCTGTCTCCTGGAATACTGTGTTGATAACCTCTCGGGGTATTTCATGTCTAATTACTGTGCCACATTTTGTTTAATGTTGTTATTCTTATTTCATGCATGTCACTTAACTTATGCTCTTTAGGAAAGGCTTCCTTTGTAGCTTCATTCTTACCATTTGGTGTATCAACAACACACACAAAGTAAAAAGTGTTTTTTATATGTGTCAGTATATATAAATCAAAGGCTAAATATTGGTCACAACAACTTCAGTTTGTATGAAATTAGAGTCACCCAGGTCTTTATGTCTTTGAGACTCGGCTTCAGATCAACTGACTGAATGATTTAATAAATGATTATAGCTGAATAATAGTGGAAGTCTATTGCATGCTGTGTAATAACAATAATTAATGGAAGCATTTGTATAGTGAAAAGACCCAGCCCAAATTCAATCAAGCACAGAACCTTGAAGAACTTGTGTTGATGTGATATCACAGAGATCACATGATTTGTAATCAGCTGTTAGGACAGTAATTTAAACAGTGAAACTTAGATGCTCCTTAGAAATTCAATCATGCCAGATAGCTGTGCCCCACATCTGCTTTTAATCTTACATAAATATTCGCTCCTTTCCTCCAGATGTGGTGACCGATATGGACTTTTCTCCTTTTGATGAAAGTCTCTTGGCAACCTGCTCTGGAGATGAAACGGTGAGTTTTTCGACATCCTATTCCCTCTCGATTACGGATATTAATGTGATTCGTCCGTTTCATCTCACATTTTTTTTGCCTCTGTATTCTTAACCGGATTTCATTCTCCACCCTTAAAAACGATGTTGTTCCTGGCATTACATGAATGCAACACATAACCTCTTTCTAATAAGACTTACTTCTCTTCCTTCCCAAAGCTGGTTTGGCTGAACAAAGGAGATAAGGGTTCAGAATAGTTTAGTTAACAGTGCAATCATTATTATGGAGCCAAATTGATTTGTCAGCATCCATTGGAAATCCAGCCCTGACCCAAAACCTACATTTTTCAGTTGTTTCAACACTTAGACAGTCACGACTCGACAACAAGTCTACAGCTGTGGCCTGATTCTAAACAGGTGTAAAGGAGATATGCCCATCATGTTGTTGACTTTTCCAGTCAGGGGTCTCCACAGCATGTCACATTCACCTGGTAGGTTATAGCAGGATTTTTTACACAGGATGCCTCCTGACTCAACCCTCACACCTGTATCATACCTGGATTATATGAACCTGGAGGGTTCAAAAGGCACCTCGACAACCTGGGACTGAACTATGGCTCCTGCTTCTGAGCCGCTGCCTTTAGAGTTCAGACTTCTCCTTATTTCTTTCTGCAGGTGAAGCTGTGGCGTTTGTGTGATCCAGAGCAGGAGCAGCCCAGCAGTCCAGAGCTGACGTTGCGTCCCGGTCAAGGCAGGCTGGAACTGCTGCACTTCCACCCCACCTCCTCTGGATTGCTGGCTGTTAGCACCACTAAGTGTCCTCAGATTTGGGAGACCAGCCGGCGGGATGCACCGTTAGCAGGTAGCTGCCGTGGAAAAAAATGCCTTTTTACAGGCACGGTCACATGAAAGAGCTATTTCACAAATTATTTGTCAGTGTCATTGTGAATCGCGTACTTTGTCTTTACATGTAACATTTCAGTCTCTGTCAGTTAATCTTCAGTTGATGTCGTGCCATGTTTTGTTTCTGTGTGTAACGCTGACATGTATTCAGATTCGAGGGAAGTGGTTGGTTGCCCTTTCTTTGTTGGAGAATGTCTGACTGACACTGCCTACATTTTACAGCCCTGTGGCTCTGTCTAAGAGCTGGAGCAGCAGAGGTAATGATTTAATTTGCAATCATGATCCCAGTCTTCCTGGACTGGCCTCAGGATGTAGTCACTATCCTCTGGTCTCACCCTCCCTCCTCCCACAAACACCCCACCTCCCTCACCCATCCCATGACAGCTGGCCTGGCTGCTGCTCACTGCTGATCCAGCCTATCATGTGCTGTATCCCCCCGCAGTGTTTCTCATCACTTTCATCTGTGGTTTCCTTCTCACAAATGGCTAAGGACATTATCTAAAGGCTAAACTAGCTCTTAAAGTGAGTGTGTGTTTTGGTGTGTGTAGCTGTTTTAACAAGAGCACCTTTAATTTTTTTGTTTTTCTTCTGTTTGCTGTTGCACTGAGGTTTACCCAAGCCGTGCTTACTGAAAGCACTGCAGTCTTATGAACATTATACTCCTCTTTAGCCTAAATGAGAAGGCCGTTTTTTGGTCTACACCATCCATACAGTTATTGTTGTGTTTCCTGAATTTTTTTGCTTGATTTATAGCTTCATGTCATGACTTCCACCTCACTGACCTCTTGAGAGCTGTGTTCTTTGTTTTGTTTTTTCGTGTCTTGTCTGTGTGTGTGTGCTGTTGCTCCGTGTTCATTATGCTTGTTCTCATGTTTTCTCCATCTGTATTTCTCAGTTGCTGTCTAACCTGAACGCCGTGTCTCTCCTTATCTCTATTAATGAACATCTGTGTCTGCAGCTCTGGAGGAGCACAGTGACCAGGTGCAGAGTTTGAGCTGGAAACGGGATGGCTCCCTGCTGGCATCCTCCTGCAAGGTGAGGACAGCTAATCCTGTCCTACATGGCTCATGTTCAAGTTTAGAAGGATTTCTTTTTTTCCCCCTTTTTTTTTTGTTCCCTAAAACATTTAAACTCTGTAAGGATCCAGGTCTACAGGGCTGCAGCTGCAGTGTGTGACCACTAGATGCCGTCAGTGTCTCACTCTGAGTGCATCTGTCCCTATGAGGCTCATTTCATTCCTGCCATGGTGATGCTCATAAAAAAGGGTGGGAATCCCATTACACAAGAAATTAGGAGTAGGTGATTACTATTGTTAAATTAAGAAAAAAAGACTTGGAAAGCACCTTAGCGTAAAGATTAAATAACCTGTTTGTTTTAGTATTGCAATGGTTATGCCAGTCATTTATAGAGGGCCTGAGGAGATTTTCCTCAACAAATTGGAAACTGTAGTCACTCCGAAATTAACATGTTTAAAATGGCAGCGGGCTGCGTGAGAAGATTTAACCGATTAGGGCATTCTGTCAGCCTCAATCTTACCTGACTGAATTGTGGTGCGCGTTTTATCAGCGTGAGAAAAGAGCCTGATTTTAAAAGCTCAAGAAAGATGAGGTACATATTTATTACTAATGGGAAGATGAAGGGGAAAGAGGGAGGTGGTAGGTGTTTAATGTATGTATCTATATAAGTGTGCGTGTGTGTAGTCATTTTTCCGTCACAGGTGAGATTTTTTTTTTTCTTGTTCTAGAAAAATAATTGAAACTGAGAGTTTATTGTGCGTCAGGCCGAGATTATGTTGTCGATCTTCACGTGGACTCATTTTGGCACTGAACAGTGACATGAAGCAGGTCTGTGGACCGCCGTCTCCGCAGTGTTGCAACCTGAACTGTTTTGAAAAGCACTGCAGACTGTAGCTCCACAGATGTTTGGCACAACTGTCTGATGCAAGAGTGATGCGGTGTAAATATTCAGAAATAAGCCTCGCTCCAAATGCTCGTTCATTTGATAGGGTTTAGTTATTTTACATAATGAAAAATTCTCTTTTCTGATGGCCTGTTTGGATATTCCTCCAGTTTAACTGTCTTTTTTTAACAGATAGCATTCTGGCTGTTCTGTGACGATCACTCAAGAGTACCTTGCACAGTAGCTGTTGGAAGGGGGGAAACAAACACACAGAAGTGACACATCCCTAAGACTTGACTTTTACTCTAATGTTTAACTTACGATACTAGATGTCACATTGTGTCTGCTTGTTTTCTCAAAATTTGTCACTGGCTGTTGGTTTATACATCAAACAAGACACCATATGCTCACTCCAGCTACAAGCCAAACAACCTTTGACACAGAAATGGACAACATGCAACTGCGATTTATATAATTGTTAGTCCAGTCCTCTTTGTTTGTCTTTGCTTTGACAAGTAACAAATTATTCCATCAATCACAAGCTGCGATCAAATCATGACATCCCTAACAGAATAATCGTCCTCATCAGAGCTCCCACTACCACTGCCATCGGCGCAGTCTAAGAGAACAAGAAAACTGAGAAGAAAGTGTGTATTGGGGATCCGAGGGGCCTCCAAGGGTCCAGCCCTGTTGGGCTCTGGTGTCATTTAACTAAAAAGGCTCCATTCAATCTCTCCAATCCAAGTTATTAAAGCAAATAGAGCTCGCCAACATGTGGGTTCAATCTCAGGACCTCCTATAGGGTAAACATTGGGGCACCAGGCTATGTTGGGGGAAGATGAAGAGGAGACCACCTCCCTTAAGAGCAGGAATCATGACAGGCCTCATTTGGACCTGAAGAGAAGTATATTTATGGCACACTTGTAGAAAGAAAGGCAGCATTCAGTGAAATGGAATAAGATCCCCAGGTAGCAGCGAGCGGAGGCAGAGGCGCGCCCATGTTTATCTGAATGATGGACAGGAGTGGGTCGTTTGCTTTCCAAAAATGAAGTGTTACTGGATTTGTGGCCCACTTTGAACTCTGAAGGTTACATTATAACCAAGTTCTACACTGTGCCCTATTTCCCATGGTGCAAAGGAGAACTGATGAATTTCCAACAGTCTCACAGGGCCAGTCGCAACAGGCTCTGACTCTAGTTACCATGGGAGACTGGGAACAGCAGTCTGGCAGCGCTGTGTGTTTGATGAGTGGAGCGAGTGACAGAGAGCACCCCTGGGTGAAGATTCCCAGCATCTGTGTGTGTTTACGCACATGCGAAAGTTGTGTGCAGCAGACCTGTGGTGAGAACTCATTAACAGCAGCTTGAGAACGAGGCTCCTCCTCTTTGATTAAACAGCTGCTGTCTCAGCACACACACAAATACAGATGAGCAAATGCACACATGGCTATTCATGCCCTTCCATCTGTGCATTTATGAGTTTAGGCAGTGTGTGTTTTTGTATGTGTTATTGTTTTATCCTCAAGAAAGCGTGTTTGCTTGTTTGATTGTGGGTGGTTACTTGGTGGACACATGTGCAAGTGAATAGCCCTCCATTTGTGTGTTTGCACAGCCAGATAGTTTCTCTCCTGCACTGCAAGGCTTAGACGATAGAACACAAGTGCTTTCATCACAATGATGACATATATATATATATATATATATATATTTTTTTTTTTAGATGTTTAGATGCCTGTAACAGAATTTCTGCTAAATTGAGCAGGTTCTGCCTATATGCTGGCTGTGGATTACTCGTCAGTGCACCTTTTTTTATCATTGCTGTATCTTTAAAAAAACAAAAAGACAGAACTATTTGTTTTGTCATTAAAATCAGACACTTTTTCTTTTTTTTATCCTTCAGTGTGGGCTCTTTTAGGATATCAGCCAGGGTTGTGGAAAATGATTTGGTCTTAAGGAAAAATTAATTAGGACATTGATGTATTCATGCTGCAGTAACAGAAATCATTGTTTGCTGCAGCCTTTCTTGGATATCTACCAAAATAATTAGACGAGCCTTTGAAAATCATTTGAACAGAGACTGGTACTGTCTAAAGTGGCTTTTAGAAGTGGTTTGACCCAATTTTTTCTGCAGCAGGTGGACTCCTAAACAAGGGTCATGAGGAGGAAGTGTGTATGTGTTTGTGTGCACTGCTGCTGCATTGCTCTGAGCCTTTGGCTTCGTCCCAGGTCACACAGGCCCTAAGACTTAGCTGAGGGGCATCTTATCCGTGGGTGGGCTGCACTCACACACAGACAAAACGGACAACCAAATGAAAAAAGATGAGCACATTAGCGAAAATCCCTGTTTGTTATTCAAGTCAAAATGTGCAAATAGTTCCCTTGTTTGATTTCTTAGAGGGACGGGCCAAAGCTCTGATCAAATTCTTAGGTCACATTGATTTAAAAAAAAACAAAACAACCTGCTGATGTTAATGGGAGACTGCCATTAACATGTCTGAATGAATATTCAGCACCGACAAATGTGGCAGCTGTCTTCATTGTTTTTGTTCAGGTGTGCTTTATTGTGTCACAGTCAGCCTCTTGATTCCGTTTGACATGTATACGTTAAGTATGCTCAGGGTTTAGCCTAAGTGCTTATAAGTATTACCTTCTATCAGCCCCGTGTGTCAGCCCGGTGCTGTGATCACAGTCACACAGCAGTATTGAGTGACACGGCTGCAGACATGAATGTCCCACACAGCCTGATCCCATTAGGCCCCATTTCCTTCCAATCACACAGGAGTCTCTCTGATTGGCTCTTCTGATTGATGCCGAATGTGTGTTTTGGCTGGTCGGGGTCAAGGCACATGAGGCCATGGAGAGTTCATTGGATTGCATTGGTGACAATGAATCAGGGCGATTACATTGAAAAATGAGAACTTCTGAGAACTTGTTCTGTTCTCTGAATTATACCAAGGAGTAGTAGGCAGTAGGAGTATGGTACCTTTTCTTAATATATTTGAGATGCAGCCCAAACATTTAAATTTGATTAGTTTTAAAACATTTAAGCTACAACCTACATAAAATTAGCTCAAATAAAGCCTTTATATCTTACATTTTCTTTTTGGA